CCTTGAGGTCTAGAGGGTGTGCCTGGTTGGGGAGAGGGTATGACAGCTGGGGAATCCTCAGTTTCTATGTAGCTGGGATCATAAGGACCAATGTCCTGGTACCAGGGTTATTGCTTTAATAGGCAGTGGTGGGCCAGGTGCTGTGGCTCATGCCTGTAATCCCAGCACTTTGGGAGGCCGAGGCAGGGCAGATCCCGAGGTCAGGAGATCGAGACCATCCTAGGTAACACAATGAAACCCTGTCTCTACTAAAAATGCAAAAAATTAGCCGGGCGTGGAGGCACACACCTGTGATCTCAGCTACTTGGGAGGCCGAGGCAGGATAATCGCTTGAACCTGGGAGGTGGAGGTTGCAGCGAGCTGAGATCTCGCTACTGCACTCCAGCCTGGGTGAGAGAGTGAGATTCCATCTCAGACCAAAAAAAAAAAAAAAAAAGAAAGAAAACAGGAAGTGGTCCACCTCCTCTTTAAACCCTTTTGCTTCAAATCTTTAGAAATCTGATAAAGGCTTTTAGCTGCTTTCCTTAGACCGAAAACCACTTCACTCCCCTTATTCCCTCTCTGCACACTTTATTTTTATTTGTATTATTTTCTGAGGCAGGACCTTGCTCTGTCGCCCAGGCTGGAGTGCAGCGGCGTGATCACAGCCCCGCAGCCTTGACCCCCCGGGCCCAAGTGATTCTCCCATCTCAGCCTCCTGAGTACAGTAGCTGGGACTACAGGTGCCGGCCACCCTACCTGGCTCACTTCTGTTGTTATTGTAGAGACAGGGTCTCTCTGTGCTGCCCAGGCTGGCATGCTTTAGGGTACAGTTTCCAGAGGAGGTGTAGGAGCAGACTTCAGAGGCCTGTCCTGACCTCTGGTGACCGGCCTGTGGGTTTCCAGATCAGTAACTTGGCACGCAGGTCACTGAGCCCTTTGTTAGCACCCGCTCAGATCAACGCATCCACCCGAAGAGGCAGAGATCCCTATGTTTTCACCAAACCCTGCTTCACCGGCTTCCTTCGGGCACACAGCTGGACTGCATTTCCCAGCCTCCCTTGCAGGTGGCAGTGGCCACATGACCCAGCTCCGGCCTGTTCGGCTCGGTCCACAAACATCCCGTCACCCACGCTTGAGCTTGACCCCTCTGCCTCCCCGGCTCCATCTTTCTTCTGCTACACGGTGACTGCAGAGGAGGATCGGGCCTCAGACGGTGACAGGGTCGCAGGGTGAAGGGGCCTGGGCCCCTGAGTGACTGCATGGAGCAGAGCCCTTGTCTCCCTCCACCGGCCCCCAGGAGACTGCAATGCAAGCAAGAAACACACTTTTCTCTGGGAGCTGTTTCTCACATTTGTTATGACTAAGGCAACGTTTGCATCATCCCCATCTGGGGAGGTTCTTTTCCATTGAAAAGGAATCCATCTTAGGGTTCCTTTAAAACAGAGAGCTCCTCCAGAGCCTTTGGCCTGGGATCCTGAGGCTGGAGAGTGTGCCTCCAGCCCTGAGCCTCAAGGCATCTTCTCTGGGGCTCTGATTGGCTTCCCCCCTTGCCCTCAGGGCCCCTGCCCCCACTTTCCTCCGTCGGTGGCCTCCTTCTTCCATCCTGTGGCCTCCTATTTACTTTGACCATTGTCTGTGGTTGAAAGTCCAAGCTTTCAGGGGTCAGCCACATCTATTTTTTCCCCTTCTCCCTGACAAATTGCTCCCTGTGGGCAGGCCTCGGCCAGCTCCCTGCGAACTTCCTCCTGCATGGCGGGAGGCTGAGCACACAGGGGCTGCTTCGGGAAAGCTTCGTTCTTTGCAGCTCCCCAGCGTGGAAGGCCCGGAGGGGGTTGCTCCCAGGATCGCCTGTTCCCAGGGCACTTGGATTCCAGAGACAGAAGCCAGCCTCTGCTTCGGGCTCATTTCCTAAGTGAGCCACTGCATGTTTCAGGACAGTGGAAGCCAGGAGTCAGGGTCTGGCTCGCTGGCTCTGGCCTCTTTTCCCAGCTACACACAGCACCCTGGTCCCTGTCCCCAGCCCCTCCACTGCTGGGAGACCAAGACACAGGTCTAATGCCTGCCCAACCTGTCCCCACTGTGGGAAACTCTTTTCATCACCCTTCCTTCCAGGGAGGACCACTTTCCACCTTTTAAATCATTAAATCGGTCTCTAACCACCAGGCACCAAACCCTTCTGCCCTTGGTAACCTTCCAGATAATTAACAACGACTCTCCTTGCTGTGTGCCAGGCCCCACGCTAAGCCACTTTTACCCCAGACACCAATCCCTGGGGATGGATGTCATCAGTATCCCCATTTTACAGATGAGGAAGGCGAGGTTCAAAGGACCTCCTGCCTCCCCCCTTCACCCCGCCCCACACCAGCTTTGAAGGCAGTGGCAGGGAGCCACGATCTTGTGCGCACGCCTGGTTCTCCCACCCCCCAGCAGTGGGAGAGATCGCCGGGGAGGGGGCACAAGGCCGATCTTGGGTCTCCTTCCTCTCCTCTGGCCCTCCCTTGGCCCCCTCTGCTGCACCCCCAGCTTGTCCAAACCACCCTTGAGCTTGATCCCTTTCCCTCGCCGATCCCACCATCAAAAGCGTCTGTGGCAGGGCTTGGCTCTGTTTGGCTTCTCCAGAGCCTGACCAGGGAGCTCTGCCGCTCGGAGGTTGTGTGCTCACTTTGCAAAACAGCAGAAATTTATAGCCCAAGTAATTGATCACGGCGCTTCTGCCTCCCTCCGTCTCTCTTGGGCTCCTAATTCCCTTCTCCCGCTCCTCTCTTTTTTCTCAGCGCGCCATCTGTGGTGTCAGAGAAAAGGAAGCCAAAAGGGGGGGGGGGTGTTTCTAGTCCCAGTTCTGCCAATTACGAGTCACATGAACCTCAGTTTCCCCATCCACAAAACGGAGAAGCTAATAATACCTGCTCACATGTGTGCCGGGCCTGCGGATGCCGGGGCCGGGAGGGGCACGCAGACAGAGTGACTTCTGACTCCGGCCTCCATGTGGGGTGCGGGGTGGGGTGGGGGCCACCTTGCCGATGCGGACACTGGGGCCAGGAGAGCTCAAGCCATTCACTCAGGGTCACAGAGCTGGCAAATAGCAGCCCTGGAGCTTGAACCAGGTGAGTTGTGCCTCCAACCATTAGGCCACACTCCCAGCCCCATGGCCCATCAGAAAAGAGGTGAGCCTTGCCAGGCCTCCCAGACCCCTATTTCACTCCGTTCTGGATCTAACTGTGGGGCAGGAGCAGAGGCCGCTGGGGCAAAGGGAGCATTTTGCAAACTGTAGAGAGCTGCGAGCACGGAAGGAAACCTCACGAGCATTCCCATCCCGCTTCAGTGCCGCCCCCCGCCCCCAGACCCCTCCACCATCCACTGTCTGGGGGCTCGCTGGGACCCAAGAGCTTCCCTGGCCCTCAGCTGCTTGCCTCTCCCTCCTAGAGAAGCTCCAGCCAGGCCCCTACACCTGCCAGCCTCCAGGAAGGCCCACAGAACCTTCCAGAACAACCCGCAAAATGACTCTGAAGAGCACTTCACTTGCCCTTCCATGGCAGATGAGGCACCAGGCCTGGGAGGGGCGGCGCAGGTTCTCGCCTGAGCTCTGGGGACGGAGGTGGGCGGGGGGGGGGGGGGGTCCCAGGGCTGGAAACTCTCCTCTGAGCCCCACTCCAGGGCAGGCGGGGCTGACGGCCCTTCCTGCTCCCTTCTGTTCAGTTCCGGGGGTGGCGAGTGCCCCAGGGGGGAACGTGCTGTCTGTTTCCCTGCACCTCGTCTAGCCTCGTCTCTGCCTGTGCGGGTCTCTCAGTGTCTCGCTGTCTCTGTGTGTCTTTCTCTCCAAGCCCCCGCAGCCCGCAGGCGCAGACTTGCTTTCTCCCAGGCGTGGCCCCCAAAGCCGAGCCCAGTTCCTCGGGTGTTTGCATCCAAGGTGCTCGCAGCGCCCCGGCCGCCTCCTGTCCCCACGGCAGCCCCGGGGGCCGCGCTGGGCAGGGAGGTCCGCAGCTCGGGGCGGGGGGCACGTTCTGTTCCCCGCTTTCTGGCGGGGACCGCAGGCTCCAGCCCCGGCGGCTCCTGCTCCCGCCCGGCTGGCGGAGATGAGAGCCGGCTGCAGGGCTGGGAGCGAGGCAGCAACACACAGAACAAACAGAATTTTTTTTTGCAACTAGAGGGGGAAGCACAGAGCTAAAAATAAAACGAAAAGATCAGTATCTGTCAGTCTGACAGCTGATTGGCTGCTCGGAGATGCATATAATTACCAGCAACTGGCGCTGGGTAGGCAAAGCCGGGAGAAACTGCTGAGACGAGGTTAGGATTTAACCTTTAAATTCTGGAGCCATCGGAAACCGAGGGGAGGACGCCCGGGTGTCGGTGCTAATGAGGCTGGGGGCGGGCGGGGGGCGGGCAGCCTCTGGGTCCGGGGCAGGTCTCGGGGCCTCCCGGGGAAGGCCCTGGGAGCCCTTGTCCCTGGCGGCCTCCGCCATCAGACTGGGAATGTCTCTGATTGGGCGGCCAGGAGGCGGTGGCCTTTCTCACTGCCCAGCTGAGGGGTGTCGTCTTCCGCGAAGTTAGGGTCTCATCTGGGAGGCAGGGAGGGAGGGCGCTGCCTGAGGCCCTGGGCTCCTCCGGGGCCGGCACACCCCGTCTCACCCTGTCTCACCCACGTTCCTTCGTGTTTCCCCCGCCGGGTGTGGATTCCAAAACCCATCCTCACTCCCCTCCTTCCTTCACCCCAAGTCACCCCTGTTCCCAGCTCTGTTTCTTGCCCCGCCTGTTTCGGCGCCTCAGGCTTGTCCTAGGGCCCCGAGACCTCTCTACGCCTCGGTTTCTTCATCTGTTACGGGGAGGTGATGGACACTGGGCCCACCTGACTGCTGGTCAAACGCCAGGGCCCCTGTGGTCCCAGCCTTGCATGCGGATTCTTTCACCTGAGCCAAGAGTCAGGAAATCAGGGTTCTAGTCCTGGGAACTGTACCAGTGTGAACTGGGAGCAAGAGTTCCCGCCCTCTGACCTCTCCTGGTGGCCATGGGGACCATGTGAGATGGTGTATGTGGCCTTGAGCAATAAACCCACCTGTGGGGGCAGGTGGGCGAGGACACCTGCAGCTCCTTGAACCCAGCGCTTTGTTTCTTCCAGGCCTTTGCCCAGGCTGTGGGCTCTGCCTGGAGCCCCTTTTCTTCCCACTAAAGCCCTTCCCTTCACTGCCTCTTCCTCTGGGAAGCCCTCTCTGGTGCCCAGCCCGTCCTCTTCCGCCCCCTCTCAGCTCTGCACCCCACGCTGAGGCCCAGATTGCCTGCTTTGCACAGAAGGCTGTGAGCTCCATGAGGGCAGAAACCACATGGCTCTTCACAGCTGTGCTGCCCGGGCCTGGCCTGGAGCCCCTCAGGAAGCGAGACATCTGAATCCTCTGCCCTGTGCCCCTGGCAGCCAGGTAGAGCCACCTTGGCCAGACCACCCCGGCTTGGAGCAAGCAGCAGCCTCGTGGATGGGGAACCACGTTTCCCTGGCACATTAGCAGGCCCTAAGTGCTGCACGAACACTTGGCTCTGCCCTCAGAGTGCCGATGCCCAGGGGACGCTGCCCTTTGTGTGCTACCTAAGAGAGAATGCAGCCTTCGAGAGGGCAGGGATAAGCGTGACCCCAGGCCCTGTTGTCCCGTCCTAAGAAAGTTCCCGGGTCTGCCTGTCCAGTCCCGACCTTTTCTCTGTGCTGTCTGGGATGGTGGGTGGACCTGCTGCTGAGCGGTGGGACCTAAAAGACCCATAGTGACCTAGGGGAGGCACTGCCCAGAGCTCCTAAGTGGGGTGGGGTGCAAAGGGCAGGTGGGTGAGGGAGGCAGAGAGAAACTGATTAGTCACTCCCACGTCAGTAGTCCAGCTGTGTGCCTACCTCTCTCACGAACTTCGTGGGGATTATTTCTTAGAATTCCCACAATGGCCCCTTGGCAGGTGATGCAGGTGTTATCTATGATGTGCAGATGAGGAAACTGAGGCACAGAGTCATTACTCGATGCACACACGGGCCCACAGTTGTGGAGGACAGAGGCCGGACACAGCCCAGTCCCTGGTCTCCCGGGGCCAGGCCCAGTGCTCCTGCCTCTCTGATAAGGATAAAAAGGAGGGAGTGGGAAGGTAGATGTTCCCAGGCAACTACCATGAGACCTTCCAGCAGAGAGGCTTGAAAACGTTTGTGTGTGTATGGTGTGTGTGTGTGTGTGTGTGTGTGTGTGTGTGGGGTATGCAAAGGAATTCCCCTTTGGTGTTGCTTTGAAAGATTTCGGGAAGATTTAAACTGCTTTTCAATGATTTGGGGATGTCAGCCTGGTGTTTTCTTGAGCGTGACACCATGATGAGACTGGCCCCCGAGGCAGCCCTGTTTTACCCAGGTTATGGTAATGGAACTGCAGCCGGGCAAAAGCAGGCTCCGCCGACTGAGCTCTCATCCTGGGGTCCACGCCGGACTCAGCCTTGACTCGGATGCCCGCTCTAAGCCCCACCTGAGAAAGGGATTATTTCATCCCTGCATAATTTCCTTACAGCTGATGTCAGAATCTGCTTGTCTCTAAACTCACCGTCTCCCCCAATAGGAGTGAGCTTGGTGAGGGCTCCTATCTGGTCTCTCCCATTCATTGCTGAGTCCCTGGCACCCCAAATGGAGCAGCTAGTCAATAAAACTTTGCTGGACACATTTCAGATGAAGAGACTGAGGGTCAGAGAGGTCACATGGCTTGCTTGGAAGAAACATCAGATTTGTCGGGCTCAAGAGTCCATTTCTGACTCCCACGTCACAACCCAAGAGAGCCTCAGAGCCTGAGTCTTCCCCACTCCACCCATTCTCAGACCTTGTACTAAAACCAGTGAGGCCTCTGAACTTCTGTGTGCTCCCCAACCTTCTCCTTGCTTATCTGGGAATCAGGCAAAAGTTGGCCAGAGTGAGCTCAGTCTCAGGGAAGTTGCATTCTGCTGGAGTCACTTGGATGTCCCTGTTTTGCGTGACCTGATTCAAATTTTCCATCTTTGTCGATTTGATTCCCACTCTGAGATCACCTTACTATGTGATGACGGGCTTGGGAAATTCACATGTGCATTTGACGCCTGCTGCTTATCTTCTGTGGGGCCCCTAGTTCAGGGGGGTTTCAGCAGGTCTCTTGGTGAGACTGGGGTTATAATCAGACCCTCTCAGGGTTAGAGCTTGGCCCTATCACTGAGTGACCTTGGGAGTCTCATTGGACCTGGGTTCCTCACTTGTGGAATGGGACAGGTTGGGCTCCTGGATGGAAAGTGTCTTGCTCAATATCTGGTCAGATATTACCATCACTCACCGCCCGAGATGCCCTGCACGTGGGTTTTAGAGCTTGCTGGTTTCTGTTTGTCCTCTGCGAATGTCCGACCATGTACAGACTGATGCATTTTGTAGGTACAAGATCGCAACACAATCAGTCTGTCTCCTCAAATGACCATGAGCATGTCTGGATTCGGAGAGCCCCGGGTGTGGGGAGCTGACGTGGGCATGAGGGCTGCTAGGATTCTGGGCTCAGGCAGGAGGGCAAGGTCCCAGGAGGTCACCTCTTTTCTCTTTACCCTGAACCGTTTAGAAGTTGGTTTCTAAATGTCCTGAATTCCTGCTCCTTAATAGGTCGCCCAGAACAGTGCTAGGCCAGGCAGCAGGAGCTTGGTGGGTGTTGGTCTGCTGGGGAATGGGAAAAGGAAGAGAAATGTCAAGCTTTCCCTTAAAAACAAAACAAAACAGGGCCGGGTGTGGTGGCTCATGCCTGTAGTCCCAGCACTTTGGGATGTCGGTGTGGGTGGATCACCTGGGGTCGGGAGTTCGAGACCAGCCTGGCCAACATGGAGAAACCCCTCCTCTACTTTAAAAAAAAAAAAATTAGCTGGGCGTGGTGGTACATGTCTGTAATCCCAGCTACTCAGGAGGCTGAGGCAGGAGAATCCTTGAACCTGGGAGGTGGAGGTTGTGGTGAGCAGAAATCATGCCATTGCACTCTAGCCTGGGCAACAAGAGTCAAACTCCATTTCAAAAAAAAAAAAAGAATACAAAAACAAACCCTCACATTTCCCACCAATAACACACCGTCGTTATCCCTATTCTTTAAGAAACATTGTTTAAAAACATCTGCCTGAACACCAGGCAGTCCCAACACCTTCCTTGTGCCAACGTTGCATGGGGCACGCCAGCCAGTGAAGCCCCACTTGTGGGCAGGTAGGCCTGTGCTCTGCGAGGTGCCAGCCTCTTCACTGCCCAGTTCGCCCTCACCTCCACCCCGGGGGTTCAGCGGACTGGGACTGCCACTTCCCAGATGGGGAAGATGAGGCACAGAGAGCTGAGGGGCCAGGCTGAAGGTCCCACAGTGAGAAACTTGGGGAGCCCAGCTGTGAGCTGAGCCCCCGGTGTTCCTGTGAGCAGGAGGGAGTCCTGGTCTTCGTCAAGGCTCAGCTTGGTCAGGGAGCCAAGCCCAGACAGACTTTGAGTTCTGGCAGCCGGGCACAGGGGGAGCTTTCTGGGAACAAGCATGAACTACACATGGTCCCTGTCCTGGAGTCCCTCACGTCTCCCAGGAGAGGGGGACACAGCCACAAACTGAACACATGGGCCTAAGAGGGGCCACCCAGGTCTGCAGAACTGATCCATTCCATACAAAATCTCCGAAAAGACCCCCACAGACCTTGCTTTAAAATAGTCTTCTTGAGCACTGTGGCTCACCTATAACCCCAGCACTTTGGGAGACCAAGATGGGTGGATCACTTGAGGCCAGGAGTTCAAGACCAGCCTGGCCAACATGGAGAAACCCTGTCTCTACTAAAAATACAAAAAATTAGCTGGGTGTGGTGGTGCCTGCCTGTAATCCCAGCTATTCGGAAGGCTGAGGTAGGAGAATAGCTTGAATCTGAGAGGCAGAGGTTGCATTGAGCTGAGATCACGCCGCTGCACTCCAGCCTGGGCGACAGAGAAATATTGCATTCCAAAAAAAAGTCTCCTGGGCCAGGCTCAGTGGCTCCTGCCTGTAATCCCAGCTCTTTGGGAGGCCAAGGCGGGCAGATCACGTCAGGAGATCAAGACCATCCTGGCTCACATGGTGAAACCCCGCTTTTACTAAAAATACAAAAAATTAGCTGCGTGTGGTGGCACACACCTGTAGTCCCAGCTACTTGGGAGGCTGAGGCAGGGGAACTGCTTGAACCTGGGAGGTGGAGGTTGCAGTGAGCCGAGAACGCACCACTGCACTCTAGCCTGGGTGACAAAGTGAGATTCCATCTCCAAAAAAAAAAAAAAAAAAAAAAAAATCTCTTATCGATGTGTCCCCATCAGAGTTCGGGTCCTTCATGGTGGATGGATGGTGCATCTCTTACATCTTGAAGTGACTCCTTTTGAGCCATATTTGAAACCCAGTTGGTTTTCCCTTCCCAAGAATGTCCTAGTCCGTGGTCCTGGAGACCTCTGGACCTGAGTCTCCAGCTACCAGACACGTAAAAACCGTGTCTCAGAAGCCCCTTGTGGGCCAGGCGTGCACCTGTAATCCCAACACTTAGGGAGGCTGAGGCAGGAGGATTGTTTAAGCCCAGAGTTTGAGACCAGCCTGGACAGCATGGCGAGACCCTGTCTCTACAAAAACACAGACAATTAGTGGGACGTGGTGGTGCGCACCTGTAGTCCCAGCTCCTCGGAGGCTGAGGTAGGAAGATCACTGGAGCCCCGGAGGTCAGGGTTGCAGCGAGCCGTGATTGTGCCACTGGACTCCAGCCTGGGTGACGCAGCGAGATTCTGTCAAAAAAGAAAAAAAAAGGCCTTGGCCGTGGCCGGGCGCGGTGGCTCACACCTGTAATCCCAGCACTTTGGGAGGCCGAGGTGGGCAGATCACGAGGTCAAGAGATCCAGACCATTCTTGCCCACATGATGAAACTCTGTCTCTACTAAAAATATAAAAATCAGCTGAGTGTGGGGACGTGTGCCTGTAATCCCAGCTCCTTGGGAGGATGAGGCAGGAGAATTGCTTGAACCCAGGGGGGACAGGTTGCAGTAAGCTGAGCTCGCGCCACTGCACTCCAGCCTGGTGACAAAGAGACTCCGTCTCAAAAAAAGAAAAGAAGCCCTTGTGTCCCTCCCCTGCAATCCTGTGCCCAGAGGTCGCTTCCAGTCCGGAATGGAGAAGATGCATTCCGGTCCGGTCGTCCGTGGGCTCTGGGGACCCCACCTCCTCCAGGCTGCTGGCAGTTGGAGGAAGTGCGTCTGGGCCACAGACTTCGAGCTGCAGTTGCCAGTTGATAGCAGCACCCGCTGTGTCCATCTGTCCTTCCGGCTCTCACCTTTAACGTCTGCACTCTCCTGACCAGTATCTCCAAGGCCTCCAACCTCCTGTGGCTGCGGGGTGGAAGTGAGAGGGATCGGGGAGGGGAGACGTCTGCCGGGAGAGAGCCAGAGAAGCAGCTTGGGAGGAAGCCCCCCAGAGACCCCACTCCCTGGAATGCTTCTGGGCTGGCCGCACCCCGACCCTTGGTGCAGGTTTCTACAAGAAATTCAAATGTGCCTGTAGCTGGATTCTGCCAGGCTCCCCGGCAAACCTGCAAACAAGAGCCCACATGTTCTCGAGGACAGCTTGCAAGAGACCCTGGGGCGAGGAGAGTCTAGTGACGACCCAGGATGCGTGCATGAGGGGCTCCTTCCCATCCTGGGCCTCCCAGGGCAGCCTGTGGCCGCCCCAGTTGCCAGCAGGGCTGGGTGGGAGTGG